CATCTTTGAAGCAGCCCTCATGGTACGTCCGACTCCACCCCTTCCCTCCCTTCAACAATCTAACAAGGCGTTATAGTTCATTAATGTCATTGTTCTGAATGTCTGGCACCCCGGTCGCTACCTTCCCAAGTCCAACAAGCTCTATTTGGGCGAAGATGGACAAGAGATTTCGGCAAACAGGGGTGGCTGGGACGACGAACGTCCTTTCTTGCTCACCCTCTTCGATCCTTTCAATATCGGTGGACTCATCAAGGAAAGGAAGGAGAAGAGGAAGCAGCGACAAGCTAATGGATTTGTCGAGGAGAAGAAGACCACCGAGGTTGCGTAGTAGGGTGATCCTTCCCCCTCTCTCAGGAGTTGCACCACAGTTAAAGAACAACTAACCCCCTTCTTGTTTTCGATCGTTTACCCCTCACTTTATGATTTCAAGTTCTCTTTTGCTCTCTTGCATGCTTTACGTATTTAACTTTATGAGCAATAGATGTCATCTTTCTATTACGTTAGTTCTATAAGGGTTTAAAGCCAGACCCCCAGTCTTTATGTTATTTGAGAGGACAGTGACCATCAATCTACGTTCAGGTTTGGAGCAAAACCTCACTTATCCTTTCACCTGGTGTGGGGTTGAAGGTGATAATTTCGGGCACATTCACACTCTCAACTTCATTTTATACATTCAGAAGCTTTTGCTCCCTCAGGACCTCTTAGAGGGCAGACAACAAAAAGTAGAGTAAAAGGTTTCACAAGTATGCTGTTTAGGAAGAGACGAACGATCAGCCTTTACTCATATCAAATGTCGATGATTAACTCACACAAGGTTTTGGGTCGACCTAGCTTCAATGCACTCTCAAACGAGCGACAAGAATCGTTTCGAAAAACAGTCAAATGGTCCCCTTTATGCAATGCTTCACTGCGTTCCTTCCAGGAAAGTAGTATTTCCTCTTCGACTCGAGGGTACTTTGGGAGGCTTCTAACCCAATAGGATTCCTCTTGTTCGTTCGGTTTGGTTCGATAAGGAGCTTTCAATGTGCATTTTCCACCAGATTCAATACAGTCGACACAATCCGGCCTGTAGCAAAGAAGTCAGTCCCTGGTTCTCAAGACTCGATCCGATGCGCACGTACACTGTTCTGTCTAAAAGAGTCGTAACCTTTGAGATCCGTGACAAGTCGAAGTTACTTGGTCGATTGGGCAACCGTCCTTGAAGAATTTCATGAATATGGGGGAGTATACTGAGAGGAGTGCCGAAGGAGAAAGTTATAGATTTGAATGCAGTCGCCCGGTCAGCACCTAAAAAAAGCCGCCTTTCAAGCATGATGAAGAAAATGTCCCACTCTGGACACTCATCAATGGATAGTGCCTCGAGAACCGGACAAAGGTCTGGGTGGAGTGCCACTTGACAAAAAAACTCTGTAACACTGCCTTCAGTGCCCATGTCTTCTAAGTTTATTTCTCTTAAATGGGGAAAACCAGCCTGGAGCTTTGAAATGAGGAAGACGGGAGCGGTAAGGACTTCGAGGCAAGGCCAATCTTGGTCACATAAATTTCCAGAAATTCTCTTGCAGCTGTAATCCGCTATGTGGAGGCGACACGTCTTTCGGTTTGAGAATTGTAGAATACTCGATTCTGCGGAGATAAACTCTAGGAAGTCGCAAGGAGGTAATTCTATGGATTCGATAGACAATTCTGAGAAGATGTAAAGGCGTTGAAGGTGAGGAAGC